TGTGTTGGTGTAGGTGAACTTCAGTCTTCCATTTGCTCTGGCTTCAATCTATTCATCAAACTCCACAACTGCTGGACAAGGTGAATTTCAAGAACTAACAATAATGTGGTTCATTTGTACATTTTTTGATGAGTACTATTATGTTTGTGTTAGTGGTGCTCACTTGTTCTTGATCAAATGCGAATAACTTTTTTTTTTTTTTAAATATGGACAGGTCTATCTCTTGGGCTTCTCAATCTTGCTATAGTGATTCCTCAGATGATAGTGTCGGTGTCGAGTGGGCCGTTGGACGAGGCATTTGGCGGAGGCAACCTGCCGGCGTTTGTGATGGGAGCGGTGGCTGCCGTAATAAGTGCCGTTTTGGCCATCACTGTACTGCCGACGGCCCCATCTCCGGACGGTGGATCTGCCAGGATTTTGGTCGCCGGTGGTGGACATTGATCATCAAGTTATTTTTATGTAGAATATTGAATTTCTCTGTTCACATTGTAACTTTTGTTTAATTTTTGTATTCAGCTTGTAATTATTCGCAATCTGTAATAAATTCTAAATAAGATTTTCTTTTTTCTGATTTTCGAAACCTAGTTTCTGGGCTGTGATTCGTTGTCGAGTTTGTTCGACTTGCTTTGCTAACCGTACCATTTATTTTTTTCGGTCGAGCTAATAAACTATTATGTCACTCATAATCAACAAAATTCAAGCCATTATTCCAACTTTTCAATGTGTTTTCATTGTACATTGCTTAACCGTTAGATTAACTATCCCGACGGTTACATGATGATCTAACAGTTACAAATCCCGACGGAACGATTTCGTAACAGGACCGTAGTATTTTCCGATTTTACAATGTACATTGCGTAACCAAAGAATAAGAAGGCAATCACTTGAATGGTGTCTTGTATTTGGGAGATATATTCATTTTAGTCCCCCAACTTTGTCATCATACCTAGTCAGGCACCATTCTGAATGTGTTAAATCAGATTTTGGTCCTACGAATTTTTATTTTGTTCGATTTCCTATCGGATTTTTGCACCGATTCCATTTTTATAGTAGAAATTGATCACGCGCAGTGTACGCATGCGACATGTTTGTGAACTTCGAGAAGAATGAGTCGTTGTTGATGCCAATTTGACTATTTATATGAAAAGCGCTACACGTAAAAACATCATTTTTTACCTAGAATAATCGATCAACTGTTAGTTTCGATAAGCTAAACGATTGAAAGAGAAAAAAAAAAATGTTGGACTAACAAAATTTAAAGTATCTAAATTATCGAAATTGATTAATTTGAAATGTCATATCTTAAATTCGAAAAGTGAGCAAGAATTAACGTGGGAATTATGAGGTCTTTTTTATGGGCTACAACTTACATGGGGTATTTCAAAGAGGTTCATAGCAAATGTGTGCTTCAGATGTTAAATGCCACCGGCAGTAGTTTTAGGGTGCACGAGGCCTTAGTCAAGGCCACTCGTCAGTTGATTCAGCGGGAGTGATATATTCACATTCGACATGTGCATCGCGAGGCAAACTTTGTGGCTGACCACCTGACAAGTTTAGCCGCTTCTTGGCCGGTTGGTTTTCATATGTTGGCTTCTCCTCCCTCTAGCTAGTTTGAGAGATTGACTTGTGGATGATGTTATCGGGGTTTGTTATTCTCGCCGAATTTTAGTCTAACATTTACGTCTATGACCTCATTCTTTGCACCAAAAAAGAATAAAAATAAAAAAGTGGGAAAAACAAAATTGGTGAGAAAGACGTTGACTTCTATTTCCCTATACGTGGGACTATTCAGAAGTAACTTTCTATAAATAGACTTTGGATTTGGGCTGAAAAAAACTCTAGTTTGGTGATGGTTATCTCGATTCCTTGACTGTTGAAAAGTACCATGAAATATTACCTAAAAAAACTATAAAAATAACGTAAACTTTCGTGGAATTATAAAGAAATTGTGGAAGGGAATGTAGGGTTGATTATACTTCTAGAACGTTTGCATTCTAATAATTTCATAAGCTTTTGTCACCATTATCATTAAGTTAAGTATAATCATATCACTATTGATGTCCATGCTTCATTTTGTCTTATTATGTGCTAAAAGTCAACTCGAGTGGCACGAATTTCGTCTGATTGAGATTTTTTTTTTAGCCAGCCACGATATCCGGAACTATGCCTCGACTAATTCGTTAGTCGACCCAGGTCGCACACATGGCAGTGGTGGGTGAGTCTCCCAACAAGGGTTTTCTGCATCCACAAGGACTCGAACCCAATATCTTGCTTAAGGTACATCAAACTGCTTACCACTTGAGCCAACTTTTGTTGGTTCTGATCGAGATTTTAAATGTGGTATTGTGGGATTGAAATTTTAACTTCTAACTATAAACACATAGGTAATGTTCTCACAAGAATATTAATTATTGGATGACATAATTTTTGAAACGTGGTATATACAAAAATACACGATAAATACTTGTTGCGCAACAAATATTCTTTCAACTTCTAACTATACAATCCAAATTTTTTCTTGCCACAAATAATTTCTTCGAACTATCCTGCCCATCATGACTCATGTTGTGATGTTTTCTCTTAGACATTTTATTGTGAGTTATCGTTTACTTCATTTTTGAATTTAGCAAAACAACAAATTGCGACAGTGAAAATCACCGTCAGATTTGTGTCATAGCTCAAACGTATGAGCTAATAAAGACATCGTAAGTAGTATACATTAGTAAGATCAACTATTTTCGAAAGTACCATGATCTAGTGTATGATCAAACCGTTAAAATTTCATGAGAACACACGGATAAGATAACCTCCACAAAAAATACTACGAACTAAGTCTCAAATTCAAATTGTGGTTGTGCTCTAAGACTATTCTCACGCGAGTGAGGAGCGGAACATAAGGCTGGTGCTTTTGTTTGTCGATTATCGGTCTTTGTACTTCAGTAATATATAAATTTACATTACCGATAGAAAAAAAAAAGTCTCAAATTCAAA